ATGGTCCCCCAAGCACTGCTAGGAGTAATTTCTGAGTGCATGAGCCAGGAGTAACCCCTATGCATCACTGGTAAAGGTAAAGGTAAAGGCCCTCCCGTTGTTTGTCGATTTGCTCGAGCGGGCCCAGTAACGTCTCCATTGGAGACTTTGTTGTTACTGTGTTTGGCATATCGAACATGTCACGGGGAGCTTGCCAGGCTCTGCTGTGCGGGCAAGATACTCTCAGTAGCTTGCCGGGCTCTCAGAGAGGGGTGGAGGAATCAAACTCAGGTCAGCATTGTTGGCTGTGTGCAAGGCAAACGCCCTACCGCTGTGCTATCGCTCTGGGTGTGATCCAAAAAGCAAAAAAAAAGAAAGAAAAAAAAGAGTTAGCTCAAAGGGCTTGAGTGCACTTTTGCCTAAGTACTGGGTTTGATACCACATCCCCCAGTACCTCAGGAAGTTTACCTCACCACCAGTACTCAAAGCCAATATTAAGCCCAACAGCAGGACTGGGGAGATAGTTCAAGTGGCAGAGCACCTGGCCAGCAGGTGTGATGCCCAGAGTTCAAATCCTGGCATCAGATGCCCCCATCCCCCAAAGCACTAATGCACTCAGCTTCAGGCCTTTAGTGATCAAGCTCCACTCGGGTAGCTGGACTATAAACAAAAAACTTCAGCCCAGAGTTTCCCTAAAATACTCTGCAAGATGATAATAGACAGTATCCAAATGGAGCTCAGTGGTCAAATAAATTTTCTTTATATAGAAATTCTCATAAACTGTACCATGCTAATTATAGTTGTATGACTGAGGAAGTAATTATACAATGGAACAAATTAAAATTATACATGACTGACTCAGAAAAATAGCTGCAGTAAATTCACTGCAGAAAAGTGCTAACTCATTGCTACTCCCTGTATTGAATTGTGTTCAAATAAATGCAAAAATGTTTTTTAACGTGATTCAGTCTCTAAATGCTAATGAATCTGTTCACTAAACAACCATCTAGAAAGAACAATCTAGAAGAATGCTGGGGAAAAACATGACAGTAATGGACTATGTTTATATTATTTAATGGGCAGCAAGACAATTTAAGGGCAATTCTGTACATGCCGTTTACCTTCGACACTAATTTTAGAAGTTGACCATCCAAAAAAGATATGCATGGCACTTGTCTTAAACCTATTTCCTAAAAACAACTCAGAATATAAATTCCACAGAATATTTTGAAAAACTGACTTAGCTTAGTATTGAACTGCACAAGTGTTCACACTGAACATTCATCACCAATCCTCAGTCGCATGCTGAGATTACAATCTGGATTACATTTTATATAGCAGTTTGCTATCAATAATTTGAAGAAGTTAAAACTTACACTGTAGAGTTTACTAGAATTATATCATAAATCGTTATCACACATTAGACTGATAAGTCACAATACATTCAAAAAATCATAGCTGATTAAATATGAAGTAGTCAAAAGAATGTACCATATTAACCCCATATTCCCAAGGCACTTTTATAACTGAATGTCTAACTCAAACAGCAGATATAAAATGCCTTCATTTCAATCAATAAAATTAAGCAATCAACCAGCAAAAATATTAGACCATTTTAATCTTTATTCCATTTCTATAGCAGCTATAACCAATTTAAATTTAATTTTATTTCCTCACTACAATATCTACCACTCAAAGTTACTTATAATAAATCAAAACTAAGCAACACTTAAAAAAAAAGTCTTCAATAATTCCTTACTGTGTAAGTCCATAAAAATAGCACTTAATGTAATCTATGATCTGCCCACCATCCACCTTCCAAATTTGTATGAAGCCTTCCACACGGTGAAAGGCTTTCACCACTCTTAGCCAAGTGTTTGAGATTCTAGCCTGATTTGGGGCACCAAGCTAGATTCCAAAGTACTCTGTGTCTATTGATTCCCAAATACTAGCTTTCCTCCGAACTGCTCAGAGGAAGTCTGAGACTGCTGGACACCCACTTCAGAGTCTGATCCTTAGGGAATGGGTTTACAGTTCTCTTACATTCTCAACCATGCTTAATGATGCTAATCAAGGTCTGATTTTGATAAATCATTGCTCTAATATAGGGGCACCAAACTGGACTCACTCTGCTATCTCTCTCTGAACCTTGCTTCAGAAAAATAAAACACATGCAGGAATAAGCCAGAAATCTGTGTCTTAGGGTTGCATCTAAGTCAGAATGTCTTTAAAACACTATGTAGACTAGGGTACTTGCACTGCATACAGCCTACTATGTTCAATCCCCAGCATCCCATACGGTCTCCTAAGCACTGCCAGGAATAATTCCTGAGTGCAGAGCCAGGGGTAACCCCTGAGCATCACTGGGTGTGACCCTCATCAAAAAAGGAAGGAAGGAAGGAAGGAAGGAAGGAAGGAAGGAAGGAAGGAAGGAAGGAAGGAAGGAAGGAAAGAAGGAAGGAAGGAAGGAAGGGGAAAGGAAAGGAAAGGAAAGGAAAGGAAAGGAAAGGAAAGGAAAGGAAAGGAAAGGAAAGGAAAGGAAAGGAAAGGAAAGGAAAGGAAAGGAAATTCTTTTTCTTGGAGCTAAACAGTATTCCACTTAGTCAAGAGAGATGTCCTAATACAGGTTATGCAGTCCTAACCAGTTGTCTTGTGTTCACTTAAATCATCTGATTTAGCACTGTGTTCATGTCTGTATACTCTTCCCTATTCTCTATGTGCATTTTCATTATATTCAGTTTTATTTCATTTTTAGCTTTTGGGTCACACCCAATGATCATTAAGGATTAATTTTGGGTTGTCAATCAGGAATTACTCCTTCCAGTGCTCAGGGAACCATGTGTGGTGCTGGGGATCAAATCTGGGTTGGCTGCATGCTCTGGCCCCATTATGTTCATTCTTGCACACTGTCTTCCCACGTAGCTAAAATTCTACCTATCTCATTCTAAAGTCTGATTTTTAATTTTTAATCCCATTAAAGGTAAGGTAAAGGCCCTCCCGTTGATCATCGATTTGCTCGAGCAGGCCCAGTAACGTCTCCATTGGAGACTTTGTTGTTACTGTGTCTGGCATATCGAATACTCTAGGTAGCTTGCCGGGCTCTCCGAGAGGGGCGGAGGAATCGAACTCGGGTCGGCCATGTTGGCTGCGTGCAAGGCAAACGCCCTTACCGCTGTGCTATCCCTCCAGCCCATTAAAAACCCTTCTTTGGGCAGGTGAGATAATTCAATGGGCTGAGTGCATGCAGGAGGCCCTGGCTGAATCACATGACGCCTGAGCACTGAGCTGAGGAGCAGTCTGTGAGCACCGGCAGATGGCCTCCACCCACCAGTCACACACACAAATCAGTCCTTCTGGGGCCCGGGAAAGAGCACAAAGAGCTGGAGTGACGCATGCAGGAGTCCCAGTCTGGATTCCCAGTACCACATGGTCTCCCAGCAGTGGCCCCTTCTCCCCAAACAATCCTTCCTCAGCAAGTCAGAGAAAAAGGAATTCTTTTCATTTGCTTATTTTATTATCACAGTTCAGGTAACAAGTAACAACAGTATTAGCATTTATGGTTTTGATATCCACAGTAGCTGCATCCCACCACCTCCTCTAGCCCACATCTCCTCCCTCACCCCTGCTACTTGGTAATCCAGTTTTGTAATCCAAGGTCAAGGGTTGGTCATCATTAAATACTGTCAAAAATAGATTTTTGTAAGTAATATACATATTAAAGGGTTAACATAAATTTAATATGTGTACTTTAAGAATCAAGGGGTTTTTCCCCCCACCAAACTGAAATAGCAATATTTACAAAAAACAAAACTACATCATACACTATCAACAAGTTCTTTTTGCTCTTTCACTCTAAGATTCCGGTCTTGTCTGCTATAATTTTTAGAGATCTTTACTGCGAAACAGTTTTCAGAATACTGGAAATGAATTAAGAAACAGTAACTCTTAGGGAGTAAGTATATAACAGTTCCAACAGACCTTTTTTGCAAGACAAAAAAAAATGGAAGGAAAATGGCAGTAATTGATACAATCTCCAATGCATAAACTACCCATCTTGAAAAGCAAGCTTAATTAAATATTTCCGAATAATTTTTTAATATGGAATATATTTTTATCCATACCCATATTCCATACCCAAATTGTATAGGACACAATTATACTTCCTAGGGAAAAAAAATTGAGGGCACATAATATGTCTTCACATCTATGAAATACTAAAGGAGAAAGTTCCAGAGGCACAGAAAGTGAGTGTAGGTCCTTGTTCTACCACGAACAGCTTTAAGAGACTGGGGAAGTTTGAGCATTCCCTGGATCTGTTTCCTATTTCCTAGCCTCGAAACTGCAGACATGGGAAAAGTGTTCTACAAATACCTTCTATGTCCAAATATTTTCTATCTCTAAAATTCTACGGTTTACTTCTTCAAATACTGAAGGTATAAAAATCAGGGTCAGGGGCTGGAGCAATAGCACAGCGGGTAGGGCATTTGCCTTGCACACAGTCGACCCAGGTTCGATTCCCAGCATCCCATATGGTCCTCCCGAGGAGCACTACCAGGAGTAATTCCTGAGTGCAGAGCCAGAAGTAACCCCTGAGCATCGCTAGGTGTGAACCAAAAAGAAAAAAAAAAATCAGTGTCATAGATAAGCATCTATTGTTCAGTTTGTATTGCTTTTAAATGGGAATGACTTGAGACCTTAAATTACAGCTTTCAAAGCTCTAATGTTAAATGTTGGAATAAGAACTCTGAAAGAGTATTTGTTTGCATATGTAATTTTGCATACTCATTCTAATGATCAAAATTAAACATCTTTTTATGAGACCACAATTATACTTCCTAAGGGAAAAAAATTGAGAATTCATAATATATAACCATATCAACCAATGTTGTAATAGTTCAAAAGAAAATAAAACAATTAGAAAATCATGTCCAAAAAGTTTCTTTAGAGGGTTAACTGCATTTTTAAAGAACTGTAAATAAACTGGTCAAAATGAGAATTATCAATTGCGAGTTTTTTTAAAAAAATTTAAAAAAAAACAACAACTCTTAGAGGATGTTATATTCGGGCAGGTCATGCCGTAAGCGTATTGCTTTCAGCTTTTCCACTTCAATTTTTGCTCTCAGCAGCTCTTCTTCAAGCTCTTGCCTCCTTTTCAATCCATCCCTCTTCTCCTGAACATACAGTCCAAAATTTTTTTGATTTTCTAAAATTATCTGATGTTCCTCTTTCAACATTTGTAGAACCTGAGGGTTTGTAGCGCCTAACTGCAACCTACAGTGGTTTCCGTTCTCAGGCCGAAAAATATCATCTCTCCTTCGGACAGAAGATGGAGACAATGTCATTCTCATATCAACAGAGGAAAGTGAAGGTGACAAAGATCTTTCCATGACATGGACTAAGTCATGTTCTTCTCTTTGCTCTACGGTGTCGCTTTCTTGAGAATTGAGAAGCAGAGGGAGAGGGGGCTTAGTGTCTTCTTCTTGCTTCACTTCCACAGTTATAGCAACTGGATGATGATCCAACATTACCTGGAGGGAGCTGGTGCCAGCCTGTACTTCCTCATCCAGGTTTGCACTATAGCACACAAAAAAGCATTATAGAATGTAAATCAAGAAAGGAATGAGAATGCATTATAGCATAATTCTGTATCTAATATACATTGACTTATCCAGCCTTAACGCTTTGAGGAAAATTATGAAAAAGAAAAATTTAATCCAAAGAATATCAAAATGGAGTAAGGTTAGGACTTGAGAAACATATACCTGGAGGTAGGTCTCTTCCATCCTAATTTTCAAACTGGACTGCACAAGATCAAAGAAGCAGCTCATCAAAGTCCTTTCGAACTCCCCCCGAGCACTGACAGCCTCAATGTTCCCATAAACCCCAAGTCTGAAATGGGCCGTTGAGTGCGTGGGGGACCAGCCACCCACACACGCAGAGCCCACCTGCTCCCGCTTTCTGCACTCAGCACCAGCCCGGCTCAGGACCTGCAGTGAACAGTGAAAAGCACTTTAAGAGTTGTAAATACTGATTTCAGTTTTGCGAAAGAAAAGCAAAATGTAGATAGTCCCAGTATTCTATAGTCTGGTTCTGCCCGCACAACTAATGTAGTTGCTGTCCTAACCAGTTTCAGATGCAATGGCACATTTCCTAACCGTGTGTGTGTGTGTGTGTGTCCCGTCCGCGGAATGGGGGGTCATACACACATCAGCAGTGCTCAGGGGATCATGTGAGGTGCCAGACAACACATCAGTGTGAGTGGCATGACAGAAATGTCCTATCCTAAACCAGGACTTCTTCTGACACTTTTCCCACTGCAGACTCATTTATGCCCAATACATTTTTACAACACCTCCACCCCCAGAGGGGTGTGTGTGTGTGTGTGTGTGTGTGTGTGTGTGTGTGTGTGTGCGCGCGCGCGCACGCTTGCAAATAAAACATTCACTTGTAATGAGTCATAAAGAAATGCATTTCAAAACAAAATTTTTTTAAAAAATGTAAGTGAATCCACAGTGAGTTGCTAACTGCTAGTCTTTTACCTGATAAAGTTCACAAAGGAAAGACTTTGTACCCCACGGGTCCCTTGTGGTTCACTGAATGCTATATAAAAACCTACCAGGTGCTCAAGTTATGCTGAATAACTGAAAAAAGAAAACGTTGGGTTCTAGGGTCATTGTTTAGTTTTTCTCACTGCTCTGAACTCAGTGCTCTGGAACCGCTCCAGACCTCCTACAGGCCACGCCAGTGTTCCAACCCACTGAGCTCTTTCTCCGGTCCTGAAACCTCCTTTAGGATACAATGTCTTTAAATGGCTATTTACAATGGACTGAAACTTCATTAATTTGGGTCCAAAGCCACATACAGAGGATAGGGGGCTTGCCATGAGATCCCAGTTCCACACACGGTCCCGAGGCCCATCAGGAGTGATCCCTAAGTATAAGGACAGGAATAAGTCCTCAGCACTGCTGGGTATATGTATATACTATGTATAACATTAAAACTATGTATAACATGAAGTTGTTTGTTAGAAATTTAAAGTCTTGTTGCTGGGTATGGCACCCAGCCAAAAAAGTACTTCATTAATTTTCTGCAGAATTCCCATAAAAGGTGCATTTCACTTAGAAATAACTTTAATTTTTTTTTGCTTTTAACATGAATGCTTTATTTATTAACTACGAGAGGGGTATTACTGATACCCCAACTTAACAAATAAGAAAACTGAAGAAGAGAGAGTTTAAAGAGAAATACGAGAATGATGAGGTAACTCTAATTTTAGTGTAATTTAAGCTTTGACAAAACAATATTTGTTATGACATAAATGTAATGCAAAGTGTTAAAATTCTACCACTTTTTAAAAACTATGTATAACATGAAGTTGTTGGTTAGAAATTTACGGTCTTGTTTCTGGAGTTTGTTTGTACTGCTCAGGACTAACTCCTGGTTCTGTTCAGGATCACTCCTGGCAGGGCTCAGGGGACCATATGGAGATGTGCTGGGGATTGAGCCTGGTCAGGTCAGGCATGTGCAAGACAAGTGCTACGACCCTGGCCCTCTTGAGCCCATTTTAAAAAAATAAAAAAATAAATAAATTCATGCTCCTATCTAGCAAGAACTATAGTTTCTAGCAGGAACTACTGGAAGATTAATTTAAAATGTAGTATTTAGAGAATATTTTATAAATGATTAAGTAACAGCACCCTCAGGTGTGGGATTCCCTACTCCAACCTCTACCCAAAAAAAAAACACACACACACACACACACACACACACACAGAACATGCTACCAGGATGCTCAAACTGCTGAAAATTCTCAAGTAGAAAGTCAATGTAAACTTAAAACTTTCCAAAAGACCATATTCTAGAATATTCAATTGCCAGAGTACCAGATATTTGTGCAAGGGCTATATATGTACATATATATTATACGCAAAATATGTGTGATATGACTATCATGAAAAACCTATTTATAGATTATAGATTACATTTATAGATTACATAAATTCCTTCCCTTCATTTCTTGCCCCCTTTTTTTGTAAAGAGTATTCGAAAGAGAAAGAATGAAACATAAATTTGATTTAAATTAGTTCAATTTGCTTTTATTAACAGTGAATACCAACTAGATAGGACAAAAAAAAATCTAGAATAGGAAAAGGTTAAAAAAAAAAAAAACAGCAGCAGGGGCCTGAGCGTCAGTGTAGCATACAGGGCGCTTGTCTTGCAACAGTCAACCTGGGCTGGATATCGGCACCCCATAGAGCCCCAGACCAGCCAGGAGTGATCCCCAAGTGCAGAGACAGGAGTATCCTCAAAAAACAGAATAAACAAAACCAAAAGAAAAATTAGATCATCTAGCTAATGACTATTTCAAATTAGCATGTGTGAAAGACTATAAGATTTATAGAGATCATACTTCCATGTAAATATGAAATAAGCTTATATCTGGAATAACCCATTTCACTTTAAAATATTACTAGTAAAGCAAAACAAAGTGAGGTTTTTTTTCCCTGCTGTTTGGGTCACACCCGGAGATGCTCAGGGGTTGCTCCTGGCTCTGCACTCAGGAATTACTCCTGGTGGTGTTCAGGGGACCATATGAGATGCTGGGAATCTAACCTGGATTGGCCGCGTGCAAGGCAACCGCCCTACCCGCTGTGCTATGGCTCCAGCCCCCAAAGTGGGTTTCTTATGAACACACTATTTATAAAAATATTTTTTAATTGAAACACTGTAATAGACCATCACAAATCTTTCTCAGATTGGGTTAGAATCATACAGTGTTCCAACACCCATCTCTCCACTAGTATACATCTCCCACCACCAATGTCCCCCGTTTCCCTCCCATTACCCCCCTACCATCACCACCACCCCCACTTGCCTCTATGGCAAGCGTCTTTCTCCCTTTCCTCTCTCCCCTTCTGTAAATTATGGTTTGCAACATGGGTACTAAGAGGTCAACGTGTTTATTCAGGGCATTCAGTGTTTTTTACTGGGGAGGTACAGCTGGAGTAGCTTATTTTAACTGGGTGTTGACTTTGGGGTGTGGATGTTAGGCTTCTGGAAGTACAGGGAGGTGGAGGGCTGTAGACCACCCTGACCTCGAGAAAGCCTGGAGATTTCAGTCACAAAACTTGCATAACAGAATTATCAGCGGATTAATATCTTGGTGAGGTTTGTCCTGAAACAGTGGAGTCTGGACGGGTCATGGTGGTGATTCTGGATTATGGGAGCAAGTGGCTGCCAGTGGGACTCTTTGGCAGGTGGTGGGCTAACCCGCTCCCCCCACCCCCATGTATCCAGGTCTTTTCAAAATTAACTGTAGCTTTTAATCTCTTTTGAGATGTATGTACGGGTCTCTGAAGCAAGGATGATAAATGAGCTTGTATGGCTGAGCCAGAGGTGGTTTGTGGGCGTGGCTCCCACACACTTAACTTTTGGTGGTTTCTCAGGTAACTTGGTTGTTGGAGTCAACAATTTGGGTTGTTGGAGTCAACAATTTGGGTTGTTGGAGTCCAGCCAGAGGCACAGCAGTGATTCTGGGGTATCAGGAAGCCTGAAGGCACCATCAGGCAGCTGATGCCCTCGCCTTCTGGGTCCAGACTGACTTACTGGCAGCACCATGCCCCTGGGTCCCAGTGGTGATGGCAGCAGAGGCCCAGGCAGGGACTAGAACCTGGACAAGCGCTGCTCCTGTTTGCCACTTGGAGTACTGGGTGGGCTGTAGCCACCAGCCCAGCAGAGCCGGACCAGGGGGCACATGCCCCCTCCTGGGTCTCAGGCAATTGGCCCTCAGGGAGGTTTTCCTTGCTAACATACTGTGGGCGGTGTGGGCTGGTCCAGGGAAAAAATGGTGGCAAATCACGGGGGCCCCAGGGTGGGAACCTTGGGAGTCTCCTCACTGGTGCTCTCTCTCAAACAGAATATCCAAGGGGCACCCACAATCACTCAAACAGAAATTTTATGACCCCCATCGGCTGTTCAGAGTGCTGAAAGCTGCCATTCCTCGCCAGCTCTGGTGCTCTATGCTGCTATCTTGACCAGAACTCGAATCATAAAGTGTTTTCATGAAGGACATAAGACTAACAAAGAAAAACTTCTAAAATTAAAAGTATAAAATTTGAGGATCAAATATGCTATAAGATACAAAACGTAATCTGATACTAAAGAAACAAAAATATCAATACCTTAGTCTTATATAAAAAAAGTATATAGTTTTAACCAAGTTAAATAATAAACAGTGATATTTTCATCATTAAGAGTGAAGAACATCCACAAATAAATCTCAAAAGAGAGCAATAAGCTGCAGAAATGCCCTCAGACCTTGTGCCAGGCTGAGTCTCATCCATGGCAACCCAGAGGGGGGCGGGTGAGTCCCCGCACCCATGGCAGAGCCCTGGCAGCTGAAAACCTCCATAACCCAACTGCCACCATGTGCACGACCAATTGCCGCAGGTTCAGATGAACCTCATCCTTAAGTGAATCTGCTGAAAAACTCAATTGTGCAGGATTTGTGACTGAAATCTCCAGGCTCGCATGAAGCCGGATACGGGCAACCTCCCCCATCTCCGTGTTCTTCTGGGAGCCTGGCAGTCACGCCAGGGAACTGCCTCTGGCAACACAGAAGCTCATTAACAACCAGGATCCAGAGACTCACAAATAAATCTCGTAAGAGAGCAACAAGCTGCAGAGATGCCCCCGAAACCCAAAGTCACCAACCAGTTAGAAAAAATTTAACTCCAGCTCTATCACCATATGTAAAATTTTAGAATTCCTGAAACGTGTGGACATCTCATACTCCACACCACGGATGTACCGAGAGTAGCACACCACATTTGATGGGGTGTAAAGGAGTAGGCAACTCAACTCTATCAAGAAAAAAAAAAAAGAAATATTAGGACACAAGCTCAAACTGTAACAACCTGTTAGTAATCTCTTGTACAAGGGTTTAATGGCTCCAGGGTGAGATACAACAACCTTCTCACATTTTCCTCTAAGGAAACTTTTTTGGATCATTTTAGTGGATTATTCATTACAAGTAATACAAAACAAATTATTTAGGTCCTGCTATTGGGGCAGGCTTTGGGGTTAGTGAGAATATTTGAAATAATGAGAATATTTGAAATAATGGTTGTGGGAAGGTGTAATGGTGGTGGGATTGGTGTTGAAATACTTTTTAGCCCCTCCCCCGAGGTGTTGGAATATAGAATGCAATAAATTATTGTAAACACCTTTATAAAAATAAAATTTTTAAAAAAGTGAAGAGTGTTGAGATTAACAGGCAAGTTTGCATAGCAGCATAATTAAGATTACAGAATTATAAATTTCTGAGATAATTACTAGAATGCAAGATGATACAAACTAAGTCTAAGCAACATAAATTAAATAATATTAATATAGAATAACAAACACTTAAATGGTTTATTTATTATATTTCTTTAAAATCTGAAAATTTGGGGGCTGGAGAGATAGCACAGGGGGTAGGGCATTTGCCTCGCACGTGTTCGACCCGGGTTCGATTCTCAGCATCCCATATGGTCCCCTGAGCACTGTCAGGAGTAACTCCTGAGTGCAGAGCCAGGAGTAACCCTTGTGCATCGTCAGGTGTGACCCAAAAAGAAAAAAAAAAAACTGAACATTTGTTACATTAGCTATAGAATTATAGTTAATCAATTCATTTTATCAATATTGTTTTCCCAAAAGTGACTATGTTTATGTAAGTGGTCAACATGTAAACCTATATTACATATATCATATGTCTTCTATACTTACTATATTTTTAATATATATACAACTAAAACTAGGATTTTTAAATGTAGTTTTCAAATATAAAATTGCCTTTTAATATCCCAAAGAAATTTTTATACCAGTAATGAAAAGGTTATTTTTTTTATGGTTTAAAGGGAAAAAATAATTTTTGGAAAAAAAGAAGTAACAGTACAAAACTATCTAACTGTGGAGTTGTCTGGGCATTCAGAATACAAAACTTTAATCATCTGTCACCACAGTAACCACATTAGGCCGTGGTCCCATGGAGTTAATATGCATATACCCATGACCCAGATTCCCATTAGGCACTTTTTCACTACACACACACACACACACACACACACACACACATTTTTTTAAGCTATAAAAAAAGCAGTCTATGGTAAGGAATTGGGCTCAAATAACTATACAAGTAAACTATGTGTTCGACTGAAAATCTTCTCACCCACCCTTTCTCTCCTCACTTCCCAGGTAATTGACAATTTTACTGATTGTGACCCTCTGCCAAAGAAAGAATCTTATAAAATTTTATTAGATTCCTTAACAAGGAGTTTACAGTTTTGTCAAAACACATTCAATAATTCAAAAGAAGCATCTAGTTGCCATTTTTCTTCTTTTGATATGGGTTGAAATTTGAATTAGTTACAAAATAGTAATTTTAAAGCTTCTCAGACATAGTTATATAAGACACAAATTAAGCCAAACTTCTTTTTTCTAACACTGTAATAACTCATTTCTCATTATTAAAAATGATAGCTTAATATTCTTGCAAAACAGTATGAGAAAATTTACCCTTTACTGTATTAATCAAGATCAAAGTGAAATTAAACTATTAATAAATGAAAAGGAAAAAACTTTGGAAATAATATAAATTTCTGATTAAGGATTAACTCCTTTCCTTGTGTCTATCTTTTTTTTTATTTTGAATATGTTAGGAAAATAATTTAAATAGCCTTAACACGAACTCCTTAATAAGTTTACTTAATTATTTTTTAGCTCAGAAACTAGTCAGAGGATGCAGGTGGTGACAATTCACTAAATAGCAGAAGGCTGCGGTACTTCTGTATTGCTACATTTATACCAAATGGAAAAGTTCAATGAAATGTAATCGTAAAACAAGAAGCAATCGCTCAGAAGCTACTTAAATACACTTAAAGCTTAAAAAGTTTACGAGCTGCTCTCATAAATTTCATCCCATTTATTCCTAACCTTTACTTTCCAGCCACTACTGAAGGAGGAAAGGGAGAGAAGACAAGTAAGTGGTTGAAACCCAAAGCAGCAGAAAAATTCCTTTTAGCCTCACTTTCCTTTTTTAAGAATGCAAACAAAGGCACTATTCATTGCTCCCCCTGTGGGGAGGCTCACCAAGCATGCCTCCAGCACAACTAAGCCAGAGCCCAAAAGATAGGAGGCGCCATAATTGTCCACAACAAATAAAATAAAGCTTACCTTTGTATGTGGTTCCTGTCTCTTACCGGGCAAAAACTGGAAATCTGGGGAATCATCTCCATAACTTTCCTGGTTGGCTCAGAAACATTGCTTTGAAAATCTGATTGGGTCTCTTTTTGCTGCAATAGTTCTTGTTTAGCATATTCTTTAAGCCTTTTGTAAAGGGTGCGTAGGCCCTGGGCTGTTCGAGGAGGGCGGTCTACCCCGATGGCATTGTAGTTAACTGCTATGATATCCCAACATCTATTCTTTTCTACTATCACTGAATGTTTATTAGTGTGTTCTTCGAGGATCTTAACATATGGCTTCACAAGCTTTAGCAAATCGAGCTTTTCAGATAAGGTAAAATTGGAAGATCTAGCCTTTCCTACCATTGTTCTTTTCAAATGGAGGAGGCAGTTTCTGAAACCACCATGCAGCCTTCAGCTCTGCTCAGCTCTTTCCACAAACAGAAAAAGATCAGGCTTAACTAGGCTAGCCTCATTTAGGCCCACGCCTACAGGGGAGGGCTTATTAAAATTCCTCCAGCTTAGGCTGACGCAGGTTCAGGAAATCTGCTTAAGCCAAGCCTGACCTACATAAAGATCCTCACTGAAGAAGACAGGAAGGCACAAGCAAAACACACTTGTGTAAAAAGAAAACAGCTCCAGATAGGATTTAATACACAAAGGTCTAGAGATAAGCAGGGAACTGGGCTAAAAATTAGCTAATTTGGTGAGAATATCGAATTTCCACACGTGTGTGCCTGGCTGAAGACCGTGAAACTGCATTGCAGTATCACTTTAATAAAAACAAAAGAGAAACTGTATTGTGCTATTTTGTTTACAAATCTAGCCGGTTGAAAAATAAAAAAAAAAAAACCAAAGGCATGAATGGTGGACTGACAGATTCCGAAGAGTCCCAAATCCCTGTTTCAGAGCTTCTGTTCTCTCTCCCTGGATCTGCATAAAGCTGGTCCTGCTGTCAATCAGGAACTGCAGATCCTCTAGCTAGTTAGGTTACACCCAGACTCAGACTCCATGGTAAAGCTAAGCTTCCCTTCATAAACTGTCTACTGGAGCCACTGCAGAGGTTTTCTTTCTTTTTGCTTTCTGCTTGTTGACTGTTTGAGGTGTTTTGATTCCTGAAATTTTTTTTTGTTGAGCATAATATATCTAAAGAGTAGGTAAAAAAAAAAAAATTCTGCTTTTAAAGCAATGGAGTATTCTAGCTTTAAATAAAGCATGCTAATATGCCAGCCTGCTTTATTGTGTGTAAAATCCACCCTTCATAATAGAAACAGCAAAATTATGCCTCAAGAACAAAAACCAAATCCCACTTGCTATTACAGAATAGAATATTTATGTCTACAGAACTATGATTTGTACTGTGAAGGAGAACAGCTAGCCTAGCCTTTTGCAAAGCCAATGGTTTGCATGCTTAGAAAATATTTTCTAATCCCTGTCTGAAAACATGATATAACTAAGAAAGTAAGCAAAATAAGCCACAATTTTCTCCCAATGGAGACGCCCCTAGAGATAGGGGAAAGAATGAGCGCTGGAACAGTCTCCTTCATCAGTGACCCCCCCCCCCCAAGAGAAGTGCTCCTGAGTACTGTGCAGAGTCCAAGGGAAACAAAGGTGAATCTACAAAAAGCCTCATTCCATCAACTGCAGCTCAAAGTGCCATACATTTTAAGTAACCTTGTTTTTCATACCTTTAACAGAAGAAAGGAAAATTAAATTTACTGAGTTCTCCTTAGGAGACAGTGTATTTGAAAGCTATGGATTTATTATCTGGTGGGGAATGGGGGGGTCGGACTGAAAGACTGCTGCGTAATCAATAGAATGCTAGCAAGGTGTTGCGTGGCCTGTCCTACTAGTACAAGGAGCAGATTCTTAATTATTCCAGACTCTCATTGTCTTCGAGCAGTTTTACTGCTCAGTGAATGGCAGAAAATAGTGAGGCAAGTACAGCAGGCACTGTGCTCACCTTGTGTACACCTGACCTAGATTTGATCCTTGGCATCCCGTATGGTCCCCCAGGCACCACCAGGAGTAATTCCTGAGTATAAAGCCAGGAAGAAACCCTGAGCATCATTGGGTGTGACCCAAAAAAAAATTTTTTTAAAGCAAATAATAATGCAAATAAGTTTTGTCTCTCTAGTAAGGACCTTTACATGTCAATACTATAAGCTTAGACATTACTGTAACCCTATTACCTAAACTAAAATAATGTTGTCGGCAGACAGATAGGTGTTTCCTGGTAATGAGATTTTTGGGAAACAGTAAAATTAAGAAATTGCCTAGCGGAGTTCATGCACAATTCAATCAGCCTAATCAGTGGCTGAACAAATAGCAGTACTCCTACATAAAAAATAAAGAAAAGAAAAGAAATTGCCTAGCCTCCCCAAAAAAGAGGACAACACTCCCTTAAGATGCAAAATCTGAATGGATAAAGAAAGTATGGCACATCTACACAATATCTACACAATGGAATACTATGTAGCTGTTAGGAAAAATCAAGTCATGAAATTTTGCCTATAAATGGATGGACATGAAGAGCATCATGCTAAATGAAATAAGTCAGAAGGAGAGGGGCAGATGTAGAATGACTGCATTCAGTTGTGGTATATAAAAAAATATATAGAGAGTAGAAGACTGATACCCATAGCCAGGGAAAACTGGGGTTAGGAGGACTGGTCAACGGTTGGAAATAACCGTGTGTGTGTGTGTGTGTGTGTGTGTGTGTGTGTGTGTGTGTGTGGCTGAGGGTAGGTAAGATAGAGAAAAGACCAGTATGACAATAATAGCTGGAAATGATCATGCTGGCTGGACAAGATCTGAGGGTTAAGAGTAGATAAAGGGATGTTCTTGTTAACCTTTCAGTATCAATATTGCAAACCACAATGCCCAAAAGGAGAGAGGGAGAGAAGAAGAAGAAATGGAAAAGTGCCTTCCATAGTGTTATGCTGGGTGAGGGGAACTGAGGGTGATATAAGGGAACCTGGGGACACTGGTGCTGGGAAATGTACATTGACAGAGGGATGGGTGTTGAATACTGTAAGATACTATTGGTTGGTGGACCCAGGGCAAGCTGTGAGATACCCTAGCATCAAAACAGGCCAGGTCAATGACATAATACTTAACTGTAAATTAAGAGCACGGCCGTGGACAAATTCTGTTATGATCCAGAGTAACAACTGGATTAGGACCCTGCAAGGGTTAGAAACGACTAATCTAGTCTGAGCACTGTAGTCTGGGATCTATAGTGAGATGTCCCCTACAAGCTTAATGTATCCATACAAAATGACTAATATTAAGAAGTAGAATTAAGATGAATGTTTAAATGGTTATCGGACTAAGAAAAGGAGAAACACACCCCGAGGTGGTGTTTGTCCCCTTGAGCAGATCAGAAGGAAGAGCTCTCGTTGACTGTGCTACAAATCTGGGTGTAGCTGCTACCCCCAGTGATTGGAGGTGGGGCTCGAGACCAAGGCTGCAAGTGAGAGCACGGAGAGACTAGCAGCGGGAGACAGGAGGAGATGGGAATGAGGGGCTCAGTGAGACTAAAACAGGCACATGGGGAGAATGGAACAAATGGCAGCTGATCACCAACCAGCCTGGCAGCTCTGTTCCCTCCATGTGTCTGTTAACAGCAGCTGCAGGTCAGGGTGGGGAAGTGGCTCATGGCCACAAAATGCACGTGGCAGGCAAGAGACCGCCACCGCTGCCACCACATTCACTCATTGATTCTGTGATTACACAGAATACTGTATGACTGAAATCCAATCATGAACAGGTTTGGAAGGGTCTGTCTTGCAGCGACTCAATAAAAACAGTTTTTTAAAAAGAAGATGCAAAATCTGAGCTCTTTGGAGATGGAGAAACCGAGGACCCCTCAGAAAAGGACAATCTGAGGTCATGATAAGAATACGAAAGGACTATCAAGAGTCCAGGACTCTTTCCCTGTGACAACACCTGAATTAATTTTTGTGCCAGAAGGAAAGCCTTGATGCCCCCTTACTAATCGTATTCCTTGCACTGTGAATGGTCCCTTTCTAATCTCACCACAAGCTTTAGATTCTCCAGTAGCTTCTCCTTCACTAAAGGGTCCACATTTCTCTGGATTTTTGTGTCTGGGCGGTGCCTCATTTTCTCCTGTCCAAAAAAAGCTCAAGATTCATATGTCAAAGAGCTGTGGTCTTGCTTTTATTTCTAAATATAAACCTTTTATTCAAAAATTCATAATTAGTATTATGTCATTTTTGAATAAATGATCAGAGGTAGGGTGTTTGCCTTACAAGCGGCCAACATGGCCAACCCGAGTTTGATTCCTCCGCCCCTCTCGGAGAGCCAGCAAGCTACCGAGAGTATCTCGCCTGCACGGCAGAGCCTGGCAAGCTACCCGTGACATATTCGATATGCCAGACACAGTAACAACAAGTCTCATGATGGAGATGTTACTGGGCCCGCTCAAGCAAATCAATGAACAACGGGAGGACCCGTGATTAAAATAAATGTATTTTCCATTTTTTTTTTTTATCGAATCCCGTGAAATACAGTGAAATACAAGCTTTCAGGTTTGAGTTACATTCATACAATGATCAAATACCCATCCCTCCACCAGTGCACATTCCCCACCACCAATGTCTCAGTATAACCCCCCTTTCCCACCCTTCCTATACCTCCATGGCAGACAATTTTCCCCACATTCTCTATTTTGGGGCATTATGGTTTACAAATGCAGATACTGAGAGGTTATCACATTTGGTCCTTTACCTACGTTCAGCACACATCTCCCATCCCGAATGATTCCTCCAACCATCAGCTCATGAGGCAGGCTTCCATCTATGGGGCAATCTTCCTGGCCCTTGCGTCTACTGTCCTTGGGTGTCAGTCTCATATTATGTTATTTTATATTCCACAAATGAGTGCAGTCCTTCTATGTCTGTCCCTCTCTTTCTGACTCATTTCACTCCGCATGATACTCTCCATGTCCATCTATTTATAGACAAATTTCATGACTTCATTTTTCCTAACAGGTGCATAGTATTCCATTGTGTAGATGTACCAAAGACCAGTCGTGTTAAGTGATGTGGTGTTCATGTTTTTTGATGACTTCAGGGCTGGGCAATCTCTTCATAAGTTTGATTATTTTCCAAATGTACATTATCAGGGCCCCTTAGCCATCTTGGTATGAAGAACTAAGGCTAACTGAGGCCCTCTGGTATTTGGGGAGAAAATGTTAATATTAAAGAACGCAGATCACCTAGGGCTAGTTTAGAAACTTGTTTACTTATTACTGCTAATTATGGATTTGTATTATATGGAGTTATTTAGACTACATATAATACAGAGTTAAAGGTAAAGGTAAAGGCCCTCCCGTTGTTCGTCGATTTGCTCGAGCGGGCCCAGTAACGTCTCCATTGGAGACTTTGTTGTTAC